ACGGATGACCGAAAATGGGCAAAAACGGGGTGATTTTGGTCATCCGTCAAAATATCTGAAGATCTGTCTATAGGATTCTCCCCAAACCTTGCTCAGCTGATCCAGCCTGGGGGGAAGGCCAGCCCTGGGCAAAGAAACCAGTACCTCATCGGGCTTCCCTGAGCGTCACAGCTCGGTGATCGCGCCGGCCGGACACCACTGTGACGTCCGTTCCGGGCATTTGAACGCGACCTTCGGGGGCAAAGACATGGGCTCTATGGCTCAGACTGGACTCCTCTTGGTCCCTTCTGATGCCCTAGGCCACACCTGGGCCTTACCTGGGGTTCTAGGGGCCGGGCAGGGTTTGCCCCCCGAAAGTGGCCTGGGGAACCTTAATAGTACAAACCCAATGGTCTTTTTCTTCGTGCCAGCGTACTCACCCATTGAATTGTCACTGCCCGTGAGTGCGAGATAGGGTTAGTGCGAGAAGGCTACTAGATACCTCACATGACCCCACACACGGTCTTGTCCGGCCTTGCTTGCGGCTGGCTAATTGCTAGAGGCGGACCACAAACCGGGATTTGCGCGGCTTTTTCTTCTTTTGTGGTTCTCGAGGTTCTCGAGGTGGATATCCTTTGGCCGCGTTGGGTAGCGAGGATGGTGTGACGCGATCCACGCAGGCGTGGTTTCTGGCGGCGGACCGTCAGTGCACGGAGTTGCCCCTTCTCCGACTGCCCCGGCTCCCGAGTTTCTTTTGTGGAGGGACGCACCGGGACGCACTCAGGGACAGTGCGGACGGGACGCGGCTCGAGGGCGGCTCCCGCGGAGGCACGACTGGCATCCGTGGCGCGGGGCTCGTCTTCGAAAAGTCGGGCATGGCTCTAATCTATCTCCCGCAACTCTCTCGCTGACACGCGCACCCCGTCGACCTTACGATGGGCGCGCTGCGGTCGCCCGCCTCCCAAGTCATACGCCACGGCGTGCGATCTAGATTCAGCCCACGTGCCTCTGCTCGCATACACTCATACAGTGAATTGACATCTCCCATGGGTGCCAGTTAGGGCTAGCAGTAGGCAGCTAGCCTGTGAGGAGAGCGTCCATAGACACCTCACATGACCCCACACACGGTCTCGCCCATGCCTTGTCTAGGGTACCATACTTCCGGGCCCGTGTGCGGGGAGCGAACCTTAACGACCGCCCAGAAGCTTTCTGAGCGAACCAATCGGGCCAGGATCATCAGCATATGTCCCCTCCACAACATCGTGGGCGTTTGAGCGGTATTTGAGGAGCACCGCGACTCTGAAGTTCGGCCGAAGAAGACGTATGCGTAATGCGGATACGTGATACGTCGAAGACGCCCCGCCCCCCCGCGGGCCGCGGCGCACCGGCGGAGATCCATAATCCGTATACGTGACACGTGGTACGTATGAGGCAACCCGTCGACCGACGCGGTAGGTCACGGAATAGACATATATATCCTTTATCCTCTCTCGGACGCCTCGGCTCGCGACTCCAGGCTGCGCAACATGTTCGGGCGGCGCGGCCTCTCGCCGACACCAAGTTCGACGGAAGGACGGTGATCGGTGTGAGTGAGTGACAGGTGACACCCGCACTCTTTTTGTTTCCATGACTTTTCCTATGTGGCGGCGCAGCCCGTCTTCCGACGCTCGCGGCTACCTACCGGATCTAGCGGGGGGCGCAACAACCGACAACCCGCGTACTAGAGAGGGCTTGAGAGAGGGACGGGGAAGTGTAGGCATCCCACCTCTTGCCCACACGCCGTCACTCCGGCTCTCCCGTCAGCGCCCGGTTGAGCTCCTCCCGCGCCTCGAGCTCGCGCAGCCGGTAGCCGGTGACGAGCTGCCAGACTAGCAGCTCGCGCAGCTTGACGCCTGTGATCAGCAATGGCGGGACCCGTGGTGGAGTAGCGATCAATACTAAGGCGAGCGGCTCGCGCGGCGGCGTGGCGCGCCCGGCGTCTCCATGAAGGTGTCGCCGCCGACGTCCGCCTCGCGCAAGATCGACTCGATGAGGAGCCGCATCGCATCGAGCACCTGAAGGGCGCGGAGAACGGACTGCAGTCGAGCAGTCGTACCGTAGCCAGCAACAGTCATGATCGCATCGGTCTTGGTAGGAGGAGGAGAAGCAGGAGTAGAATGATGACGATGATGACGAGGCAGGACTACACCAGTACTAGCCGCATCGCACCGCGCACCTCCTGCGAGATTGACGACGTCAGGGACTGCAGGTTGTCGCGGCCTACAGGAAGGTTCCTGGAAGGTTCCGGGCAGGTCCCTAGAAGGTCAGCGACTGCAGCTTGTCTCGGCCGAGCGACTGGATGTACGCGAGCAGCCCGCCCCCCTGAGGGACAAGGGGAAGGGAAGGGGAAGGGAAGGTGAGGTAAACTTCTCCACACACACGAGGTGGTGGGGCAAGGGCCACGCTAGCCCCTCGCGACTTCTCGTCTAGAAGACAGGAGCCGGCACGGCATTGAAAGTGCACGGCCCGGTGCGCGTGGGTGAGCTGTGTGTGTGCGTGCGTGCGTGTGTGTGTGTGTGTGTGTGTGTGTGTGTGTGTGCGTGCGTGTGTGCGTACGTGCGTGCGGGTGCGTGCGCGCGCGTGTGTGTGTGTGTGTTATGTGTGTGTGTCCGGGCGTCTCGCATGAATTAACTAGTTAGTTCGTTAATTGGTTCATTCATATGACCTGCGCCTCGCGCGTCGTCTCGCATGAATTAGAATTAATTCGTTCATTCATTAGTTCATTAAGTACCTGCGCCTCGCGCGTCGTCTCGCGCGTCCGCATCAGCTCGCCCCGCATCGCCTCGACCTACGGTAGCGAGATGTCGCCGAGATACAGCCGAGCTGTCGCCGAGATACAGCCGAGCTGTCGCCGAGATGTCGCCGAGATGTCGCCGAGATGTCGCCGAGATGTCGCCGAGATGTCGCCGAGATGTCGCCGAGAGACCTCGGAGCGCAGCTCGCTCATGTACGCTGCCGCCTCCACCTCCACCTCCGTCCCCTCACCGAGCTTCACCTTGGACACGTCTCGGGCGTGTCTCGGACATGTCTCGGAAGTGACTCGGAGGTGTCTCGGACATGTCTCGGAAGTGACTCGGAGGTGTCTCGGGCGTGTCTCGGGCGTGTCTCGGGCGTGTCTTGGAGGGGTCATGGACGTGTCACGGAGGTGTCTCAGAGGTGTCTCAGAGGTGTCTCAGAGGTGTCTCAGAGGTGTCTCAGAGGTGTCTCAGAGAGGCGTCTCAGAGAGGTGTCTCAGAGGTGTCTCAGAGAGGTGTCTCAGAGAGGTGTCTCAGAGAGGTGTCTCAGAGAGGTGGAGAGAGGTGTCTCAGAGGAAGAGGTAGGTGTCTCAGAGAGGTGTCTCAGAGGTGTCTCAGAGGTGTCTCAGAGGTGTCTCAGAGGTGTCTCAAGAGGTAGGTGTCTTGGGAGTCTCCCCTCGCCCAGAGTCACCTTGATGAGGCCAGACACCTCCGGAAGCGCCGCGCCCGCCTCGTCCACCGGCGGTAGCACCGCTGAGTCACCTGGAGACAGATAGAAAAGGAAGGTGAAGGACAGCCAGGGGCTTGGACTGGGCACACACAGGCGCGAGACAAAGGGGTGACAGCGACACACAGAGACACACACTCACAAGACACTCAACGAGCTGGGCTGCCACACCCGCCGCGCCGCCGCCACCCCTCGACGATCGGTAGAGATAGAGAGGTGAAGAGCAGCCAGAGGCGACACATGCGCGGTGTGCGGGTGGACGCGAGGCAGGAGATGGCGGCCGACACACACACACACACACACACACACACACACACACACACACACACACACACACACACACACACACACACACACACACACACACACACACACACACACACACACACACACACACACACACACACACACACACACACACACACACACACACACACACACACACACACACACACACACACACAAGTCGCCTCCGTCCCGCTGCAGCGACTCGATCAGCGAGCGGCGGTACTCTGCGTTTCGGAACATGTAACCGGTCAGCTGCATCGAGTACATGAGAGAGGCGACGTTCTGGCCGGTGGAGGCGACGGAGGTGTCGTAGAGCTGCGGCGGCAGATTGCCCAGCAGCGAGACCACCGTCGAGCGCACCGCCTGCTGCACCTCGGGCGGAGCCGTCTCGGCGAAGCTTCCGATGAGCTCCGGCGCCGAGATGTTTGTCACAGCGTCGTAGAAGCGGTTCGACGGCCGCGAGAGCTCGCTGCCCGTCAGCGCCTCCTCCCATGCGTCGGCGGCGGCGCCACCCTCCTCGCCCTCGCCGCCGCCGCCGCGGCTCATGCGCTCAAAGAGGCCGGCGCGCAGTGGCGGCGCCCGCATTGTACGGCACGCCAACGGTGGCCGGGCGACGAGAACGTAGGTCAGTGCGAGCGCGCTCGCGACGTGGTGTGGCATGGCAAAGGGTAAGACGATGGCCAGCGTGGCGCGTGGGAACGAGCTGCCCCAAAGCGCGGAGCTCCGCTGCGAGCTCTAGCTGCCCCAAAGCGCGGGGAACGAGCTGTGCTCCGCGGCACAAGGACTTGAAGAAAACGCACGGCCGCTTGCTTTTTTGTTTTTCAGTGTATGTAGCTCTTACGTACATTCCCGTAGGAGACTCTGCTGACAGGGTTTGCGATGAGGAGCGACCCGAAGGGTTTCTCGGAGGTTAGTGCACCACTAACCGCCGAAGCGCAAGCGCTGGGAGCAAGAACACTACGACCTGGGTCGGGCTCATACTAGCACCCCACCTCGCGAGCCGACGTTCTGGCTCAGCGAGGCTGCTGCGGAGCACTCGGGGCCGACGTTCTGGCCCAGCGAGGCCGCTGCGGGGCACCCGGCGGCTCGGTTCGCTCATCATCGCAAACTCAGTCGAGCAGGAAGTAAGGTGTGTGTGTAAAGGCGGCGCGGCACGGCAAGGGTTGGCGGTAAGGCAGAGCGGCGGCAACAGACGGCAGGCAGGGCATCGGACGGCGGGACAAACGGCACGGGGCGTGGCACTGTACGGCGGCACGGCGGTAACGGACGGCAGGGGGGGCGGCGGGCTAAACGGCAAGGGCGGCGCGGCACGGACCACGGAGGAAGGAGCGGCACGGCAGAAAGGAGCAAGGACGGCGCGGTAACGGCAGGATCACGGATAGGCGTGGCACGGATAGGAGCGAGCGAGCGGCTAGGTGGCGGGAGGGCGAGGCGAGGGTGGCGGCGGGTGGATCACGAGGAGGTAGAAGGTCTGGCGCGAGCGGGTGAGCGAACGGCGAGCGAGCGGCTAGGCGGCGGGGGGTGAGGGTGGCGGCGGGTTGATCACGAGCCCAAAAAAAAACCCCGGTAGCCAAGAGCTCGTGGAACTGACGTCAGTTCCGTGAGCCAGACCTCCCTGTGTTTGAGCACCCACCCAGGCGGCCCCGCCGTGTGTGTGCTGCCTCTAGCATGCTAGCACGGGTCCAGCCTCGTGCACTCCTCCCCTTCCTGAAGGGCCGCGAGCACTGCATCGGCGTCGACCCGTAAGGGCAGCGTCCGCTCGACCGAGCCTCGCCGCTCCCGTTCGCCCAGCAGCCACAGCTTCATCGTCGCTGCCCTCCCGCCCGACGATGCCGGTGGCGGCCCGTGCGACAGGTCGGCCGGCCGCCACTGCGCGCGCGGGGCGGCGCGGTAGATCGAGGCGGCGTCTACGCCGGCGGCAGGCTCGTCCGGCTGCACTTCGTGCGGCGGCGCCTCCGCTTCTGGCCAGCAGTTGAAGAGCACCACCGAGCGGCCAAAGTCCTCCGGAGGGCCGGACTGAGAGATGACAAACGGCGCTAGCCAGACGTCAGCGGGGCGAGGGACAGCGTGTTGCAGCGAGCCGTCGAATCGGAGTACGCGGCCCGCGACGGCGGGCACCACTGTCATCGCGCCTGCGAACCGCGGCGGGCGACCGTCTTCGCCACGGCCCGCCTCCCACACGCACGTCGGGCCTCGCACTCGGCTCCCCACGTCGAGGTAGAGCACGTGAGCGTGCCGCGGGTAGCGCAGAGGGCCTCCTCCTGCGGCCAGCGCCTCGTCGACGTCCGCGTGGGCCTCGATGTGCTTCCACTCCTGCCGAGACCAGTACTCGACGTGCGGAGAATCGTCGTCGACCTCGGAAAGAAAGGACTCGAACGCGTGCTCGAGCGCCGTGCGCGGCCCGACTGAGCGCGTGTAGAGAGCATGGCCCAGGCCGCGCGCGTTGGCCGCCACATTCAGCGCCTCGCACGTCGGCGGCGCAAACACGCCGTCAAAGACCTGGATAGCGTGGCCTGACGCGAAAACGACGAGAGACAGCACGAGTTTCATGATCTGACAGCTGGGTTCGGACTTTTTTCAGGGAGGGTACCCACGCTGCTGGTAGCGAACCGACGCTGCTTCACCTGCCAGCGTCGGTTCGCCCTGTTCGCAGATCTCCTGTGCCGCCGCCATGTGCCTTTCGCCGGCGCTGCCGAGCGGTGAGGACCTCGTCCGCCATCAGCTCGAGCTGCAGCTGATCCTCCAGGAGGTGCACCAGCGCTACGCCGGCCGCTCAGGGAGGTACAACAAGCACGACACGGCGCGGCTCCGCTTCATAAAAGACACTGCCTTCCCGGGCCTGCGCTTCGGCAAGATGGTGCAGGAGCGAGACATGGCGATGCTGCGCTTGCCGCCGATGAGCGATCTTGAGATCTAGGCGTGCCAGCCATCCTTAGCACGGATGGCTGCGAGACAGGGAGCGCAGCCATCCAAGGTGCAGATTTCGAGGTTAGCCCGCAGAGTTAGGGGTATCATCGAGTATCAGCAGCTATCCTTGCCACCACCGGGACGCGGGAGCGGCCAGGGCTTCATAGACTCGGTCGAGAGACCCAGTGCTCGATCTTTACCGGTATGGGAGTTTTTGGCTAATCAAACCCAAGGCCTGCGCTAATCAAAAAGTGGTACGGGATACCAGTTGCCTCACGGAAATCAAAGCGAGTCGGAGTGCCTTCTTGGTGGCAAAATCGGCAAAATCGGCAAAATACCGGGTATTTTGCGGGTATACCTGGAAAAACCCGGGTATACCCGGGTAATACCCGCACTTTTGCATGGTTTCGCCCCCGGGACAACACCGACAGCCGCTACAACTATAATGAAAACCCCGCATACCACTTTCGCGTACCACTATACCATACCACTCCAAAACTAATCAAAATATCGCCAAATACCGGTCTCATACCGGTAAAGATCGAGCACTGGAGAGACCCCAGATTGGCAGCCATGCCTTTCTGGACAGGGTGGCCCGCCACAAGGACCCCAGGAATTGCGACTCGCCGCTTTCCTCCCGCTGTGATTCTGTGTGAGCTCTGGGGGGGGGGGGGGGGGGCACGGGCTGGACTAGCGCTGAGTGTGCTACGGGCTCTGCGCTCGTGTGTAGTACGTCTTGAAGTTGCTTTGTCTGCTGTGTGTGTAGTATGTCTTGAAGTTGCTTTGTACGCTTGAGTGGATGAGCGTCCCCCCCCCCCCCCTCTCACCGCCCGCTCCGGCTGATGTGGCGCACACACTCTCCACTATCTCTCACAGGTGATAGAAAGGCACAGCTCTCAATGAGAACGTGGGCTTGCCCATCCCGGAGTGGTTCGATCCCACATTAATCCGAGACGGTGATGGGGTAGCTCGATCGGTCACACCGCCATCGCCGTCGGGGAGAGAGGGGACGATACTGCTTCAGCAGCGTAAACCTCGATCCTGCACCGTGTTTGTTATGACCCCCCAAAATCATCGCAAACCCTGTCAGCAGTTCACCTACGGGTATGTTCGTAAGAGCTACATACACTGAAAATGAACACAGCAGTGAGGGAGGGCGAGACGATCGAGGGGTCCCGTACCATGCGGAATCGACCCTATCCGGTGCTCAAGTGCTCAAGCTTGTGCTCAAGCTCTGTGTCTTGATTTGCCAACAACAAACCTAAAAATCAGCCATTTGACGGGCCGCAGATCCGTACCCACACGTCCGTCCATCGACTTCGTGTCTCCCAGCATGGAGAGCCGCCGCGTTCCCTGCGCGTGGGCCATTGGCCTCGCACTTGCCGCCCATTATTCGGAGGCATACACTGTCGACAGCATCTTTGGCCTATCCGAAATCGCAGATAAAATCGACACGGCTTCCATGCTCCAGCCTTCGGGGTTGACCGCACGCGGCACGTGCCCAGAGTATCCTAGTCCGTACGGGCCGGCCATGAACTGTGGCCGCACAGTCAGGCAGTGCGGCGTCCTCGCCATCGACACAGGACTTGGTACATACGGTGGGCTAGGCGGCGCGATTGACAAAGACAATGCCAACTCGGGCGAGACCGACCAGACAAACCCGCCGTATGAGCTCCCTGGCGCCAAGGTGCACGGCCTCTGGTTTGAAGGGCCGCCCTATGGCGACAGCTACTGCTGGGACATTTACGGCACCTCAAACAGCTACATCCCTGGCGAAGAGTGGGTCCTGCCCGAGTACCCCGGCACCGCCCAATCCTGCGAGGACCAGGACTGGGTCTTTGACCCGGAAGCGTACTGCACATCCAACAAGTGCGACAGTGCTTATGCCATTCCTTCGTGCTACAATGTCAAGGCGGGGTCAAGACGTTGCCCCGTCGAGTCGCGCGCTGGCGTGAGGATGTCTGCTGACTGAATCATTTAGGAGCTCCCGTCTTGCTACAACTCGTACAAGGGCCCGATCGCGAGTAAGCTCGAGACGCGCTACATGTTGTGGTTCGTCAACCACGAGTGGCGCAAGCACGGCACTTGTGGTAAGGAGTCCCCGGAGTCCTACTTCGACCAGATCTGCGCGCTATCACAGCCAATCGTCCGTTTGATGGGCTGATTCGACGCACGGCGGTGTGAACAACCCCTCTATCCACCTGTCACCCGTGCGAGCAGGTTGAAAAGGTGAACGAGTTGCGCGCCGCCGGGATGAGCGACTACACATTCCTCGACGACATCGCGTGCCAAGTCGATTTCATGAGCGACGACATCGAGCTATTCTCGCACGGCCGAAACACAGATGGGCCTGAGGGCCGCTCCAACGGCGAGTTCATGGTCAGCGCCTGCCTCGACAAATCGGGCACGTGGCACCTGGCGCGCTTGCCCTGTTTTTCATGTGCGCGGGGCGGCGGCAGCAGTAAAGGGGCTCAGTCCCCGATCGCGTTGCTCTTCGTAGGCCCCAGTCGCTAAGTTCGAGCAGGTGTGTGGCGACCCAACCTTCGACCGGCTGTGAGACGCTGACCCGGTGACCGACCGCCGAGATCGAAGTGAAGTTAGATGACATGTGGAGTCGCGAGACGCGAGGGTCGCCCCCCCTCTGTCCCACCACCTTTTGTGTGTGGAGAGGTTTTACCTTACCTCCGTTACCTCAGATCAAAGAGTTGGCGAGCGGTTGGTGCATGAGGCTGCTCTGATCAATGTGCAGGAGCACTCCGCAGGAGCCAGGACGCAGGAGGGTGCCGCTCCCCCCAAACGGCGAGGCGTCGGGCCACCAAGTGTCACCCCAGAGTGGCGCCCGCCTCGGCCCACAGCCGCGCCGCCTCGGCGCACGTCTCCCCCAACCTCGCCGCGTCGTCTGAGCCGGAGGCGAGCGGGCCGAGGGCGGCCAGGAGCCCTGCGAGCAGGGCGTCGCCGCGGAGCAGCCGGAGCCGCGCCGCGCCGCGCCGCGCGGCGTGCAGCATTGCGTGGAAGGTGGGGCCGTCGTAAAACTGCCACGCGCCGGCGACCGCGAGCGGCTCGCCTAATCTCCGGTGATCTCGGGTGATCTCGGGTGATCTCGGGTGATCTCGGGTGATCTCGGAGAGTCTCGCGAGCGGCTCGCCGCAGCCCGATGAATCTCGGGCAATCTCGGGCAATCTCGAGTGATCTCGGCGAATCTCGGCGGATCTCGCCGCAGCCAGAGTTGAGCAGCATCACGTCGGTCGAGGCGCGGAGGAAGAGGGTGGCGGCGGCGAGGCCGTCAGGGGAGGGGCACGCGGCGCGTGCGCGTGCCTCCGGGTCATGCCTGCACACGCCACGCTAGGGTTGCAGACTGCCGACCAGACAGGCGAGAGGGCTGTGTACAGTGGCTGTGTACAGTGGACGCGTCCGGACGTGTCCCGGACACCCCCCCCGTCCGAGACGTGTCCAGGACAGGTCCTGGCCCGGGCCTGACATGGTTGGTCACACGCATATGCTGCAGAAAGAAGCTCTAGGCGAAAGAAGGACTCGCGGTTCACCGCGCGTCTCCGGGCCGTGCCTCAGCCGAGAGTGTGTGGCACGTCACAATCTCGGGTGATCTCCGGTGATCTCGGATCATCTCGGGTGAGCTCAGGTGATCTCGTGGAATCTCGGGCGATCTCGGGGACTCTCGCGGACTCTCGGGGAATCGCATGCCTCAGCCGGTCGCGAAGCACGTCCAGCCGCGCCAGGACTACCGCCTGCGCGAGTAGCACCATCGAGGCCAAGCAGCCGCCTCCTCCTCCTCCTCCTCCTCCGCCGCCTCCTCCTCCTCCGCCGCCTCCTCCTCCTCCGCCGCCTCCTCCTCCGCCGCCTCCTCCTCCTCCGCCTCCTCCTCCTCCTCCGCCGCCTCCTCCTCCTCCGCCGCCTCCTCCTCCGCCGCCTCCTCCGCCGCCGCCTCCTCCTCCTCCTCCGCCGCCTCCTCCTCCGCCGCCTCCTCCTCCGCCGCCCAGCAAGCCGCGGCGACGCAGGAAGCGGAGTGTCAGCGCGGCTAGCACCGGCGGCCCAGCGGCAATCACGACGGCGGGGTCGAGGCCGGCGAGCGCGGCGTCTCCGCCAGACGCGCGCGCGAGAGCGGCCAGCAGCAGGCTGCAGCGCGCCTGATCTCGCGAGATCTCGGCTGATCTCGGGTGCCCTCGTCGAGACGGGCCAGCAGCAGGCTGCAGCGCGCGTGCGGCGGCATGGCGCCCGCGGCGTCAAAGGACGCCAGCCGCGCCTTGTAGGGCACAGCCACGGAGATGGGGCGCGCGCCTCGCAGACTCATCAACTCTCTCGACGCACGCCGGCCGCGCCTGATCTCGGCTGATCTCGGGTCATCTCGGCTGATCTCGGACGCCAGCCGCGCAAAGCAAGGAGTGAGGCTGAGGAGGGGCTGGCGGGTGGCGCGCAACCTCGCGCAATCTCGCGCAATCTCGCGCAACCTCGCGCAATCTCGCGCAATCTCGCGCAACCTCGCGCAATCTCGCGCAATCTCGCGCAATCTCGCGCAATCTCGCGCAATCTCGCGCAATCTCGCGCGCCGGCACACGCACGACGTTCGGCGCCGCCGGGTCCGCCTTGCCCGAGTAGACGAGGTACTCGCGCACTGACGCCGCTGCACCGCCGCCGCCCTCTCCGCCGCCGCCCTCTCCGCCGCCGCCCCCGCCGCCGCCCTCTCCGCCGCCCTCTCCGCCGCCCTCGCCACCGGCGGCCTCCCTGCTCAGCGGCGGCACGCAGAGCGCATACACCTCGGCGCGGAGCGGTGCGCAGCTCAGCACAGCGGGCGTCGCACCGCCGAGCGGCTCGATGCCCGGCCCGCGCCTGGGTATGGGGAGACGCCGTTCACACCTCGTGCTGTGAGCAGGGCTCGGTGCCCCCGGCCCGCGCCAGATCGCGCGCAGCGTGGCGGCGGTGAGGATGGCCGAGTCGAGACGCCCCTCGCGGTAGCGGCGCAGCAGCAGCGCCGAAGGACCGCCTCCGCCGCCTCCGCCGCCTCCTCCGCCTCTTCCGCCTCTTCCACCACCACCACCACCTCCTCCTCCTCCACCACCACCACCTCCACCACCTCCGCCTCCTCCTCCACCACCTCCGGTCCTCCTCCTGCCTGCCCCGCGTACACCAGCGTCCTCGCGACCGCCGCCCAGGCACACTCTTATCACCCGCAGGCCCACAGCTCGGGCAGATTCACTCCGCGTATCCAACACGCCAACGTCACTCACAATAGGCGTCCCCAATATCAACGCTCCGCGCTACTAGCCTCGACGGGCCCACGAGGCAGCGCCTTCGACCCCCCCTCAGCACG